GGCAGAGCTGTTCACAGAAGGCCGTTCTTCAGTGTAATACCCACTTGAAGACAAACAAGCAGATATTTAATCAGTGGAAATCCATGGTTCACTACCCTCTCTCATGAAGGGGGCATCTCAGGCATTTGCTTCCACCATCCTCCTCAGTGCTCTTGTTCTGAAGGTGAGCACACAGAGATAGCATTAAAAAAAAAAAAAGCAGCTGGATGAATTGAGTGGAAGTAAGTTTTAAGGCTTTTCAGGGTTGGGATTGTGCGAGTTCTGTTTGATCAACCTACAGCAATTGCTGCTAGTAATGAAGAGTACATATCTATTAAAGTCAATCCTACTACCTCCTTCAATATCAGTCTAAGGAAAGCATTCTGCTTGAGAGGAAGTACCTGCTTTGTTTAACGTTATGAAATTGCTCAGTGTCACACTACTTGGATAGCTCCAAGTCCTACCTTACTGCCTGGGCAACTAAATCTACACTCGTTATTGCAGGAGACAAGAGAGGAAAGAATTCATCAGTATCATGAAGAACCAGACACCCCTCCAGTTCTGGTGAGTAGTTCCCAATCAGGAAGCTCATGGCTGTAGTATGGTAAACATTTTAAATGCATTCTTGCTCGCTTTCAGTGTGGGTTTCCCCTGCCTGACAAGCCTTACAGAACTATGACATGGAAAGTTAGTTACATTCTTGCTAAGAGCTTCCACCTTGGATTTTGCTCACTTGCAGAAAAAGGGTTAGAACAAATGAAGTACATTCTGCCCATTACATGCTTGGAGTCCTGTTGCCAAACACTGTATTTTAGGCAGCTCTGATCTTTCCAGTCACTGGCCACCAGGTGTATGTTGTGTGTTGGGGGTGGTGTGCACACAGATGGTAAGATACCTCCCCTTTTTGCAGATATTGTTGACTTTACATTTTGGTTTAATCTCTGTAGGTTTCTGAATTTGCTCATACAGTAGGATGTTTGCAGTTACAGTATGTCTATCTGGAGAAGTGGGACCTCTGGGTTTCTTGTCCTGTGCTTGAGCTTGGAATATAAAGTTTGTGGTCTAACAAACCCAGCTGGCTGTTGCTTGGCCCAAACTGGATCTAAGAATGGTGGTAGTGGAAGTAATTGTGGAAAAAACACATTTTCCTTTTCTCCTTAATGGTTTCTCCTTCTTTAAAAGGGAAAAAGTAAAACAAGAAAACCAACTTCTAAACCAAGATAACTCACCTAATTTTGTCTATTTGTTAGAAATAGGTGAGCAAGAAAGTCTTGTTTGTAGTCATGGCAAGCTGCTCTAAGACTGGCCTGCTTGCGATAAGCATTCTAACCTTTCAAATAGCTTGATAATAATGTTAAATGTTTCCACCTACATTAGGGCTTGCGGGAAGGTGCGATGCTGCTAGTGGAAGAAGACAAAGCCACCTTGCAAGGAGTGACAGGAGCACGTCTGTTTTTGAGGTAAATGCTTCATTTGAATGGATAGCCTCCTTCAGATAGAAAGGAAGAGAGACTTCTATTAGACTCCTGGCACGTGCTGCCTGTCCCCCCACATCATTAGTTACTTAATCCCTTGCTTCCATTTCTCTTTGGGGAAAACATGAGCATTATTTTATGCTCCGAAGGAGCAGGCAGTATGACAGCACTCTAAAGGGTGTCTAACTTACCTGTAAGTGCTATGGCATTACATCCATTGATGCTTACGTTTCCAACTATAGTTATCGTTCACAGAAAGAGCCCTTAAGTAGTCAGCTCTGTTATCGAAGGCCAGGGGAATTCCAGTTTGGCCCTAATGCACTGAACTCTAGAACACGAGAACTCATATCTTTAGTCATATGAACATTACTAAGAAATCTAATATGTATGTCCCATGTTGCAGGCAAGGAAGGGAGTCAAAACTCTTATGAATAAGGATGCCTTGTTCTGTCCCTAGTAACAGATGGAAGCACAGTAGTCCTAGCTCCTGTTAAAGCTCACAGCATCATTTGTCTTATTTACAGGGGTAAGAAACCAACTGAACATGAGCCTGGAACAGATTTCAGTTTCCTCCTGATTGACAGTAATCCCTTGAATCTGTAGCCTTGCATATTCTGCAGCAAAAGTCACTATACAGGAAGACAATGAGGAAGAAGGAAAGAGATGCTTCCAGTCCCAGGGTGGGTGGAGAACCTTATCTTTATAAAGATGAATATGCATTAGTGGGTTCTTTCCCCCACCTTAATTCATGTCTCAGACATTTCTCCTTCCCAGCAAAAAGGCAATTTTTACTGCAATACTTGAGTAATTATAGCTATTCTTAGTTTGAAAGGGTCTATACATTCATGTATCCACTTAGATTCCTTCCCCACCAAAAAGAAATTTACCTTAACACAACTAAGACAGGACAAAGTCAGCTGTTCCTGCTGCCTAGCTTTACCTGCTAAATGAAAGAATTGTTCATTTAGTGTACTCCAACACTATTAGTTTCATTTTTGTGCTATTAATAAAGGGAGAAGTTATGCATTCAATTGCTTTTATTTGCTTCAGACTCATGTTAAATATATACAATGCTAATTATGTACAAAAGTGTGCATGTTAAAAATTGTCGGGTTACAAACTTGCAAATCCTAGAAAAGTGCAAAATTTTAAAACATCTTCCACCATGCTGTACAGAAAAAAAATTCCATCATTAGCCAATATACACACTCTTAAAACACACTGATCAAAACAAAATAAGACATACAGTATACTCTTAAAGCACCCAGAAGGGAAAAAGATATTGCACAGAAGACTGACAGCAAGTTCATTACAGAGCCTGAAGGCTCATTTTTGAAAGTAGGTATTTCCAACACTCCTCAGACCTAACATTTAACTATTAAAAAAGGCATTTTTTGGCATTTAAAAATCCATTTGTAATCACATAATTGCACAATCTGTAAGAATTATCAGACGATATGGTTAACTGTTGCTGTAAGGCTTTTGATTCCACTCCCTCATTAGCTTTAGTAAAAATTCATCAAGCAAACTGAGTAGCATCACAGCTTCCATCAAAACATTGACCAAAGGGATGTAAGTCTTACAAGCAGCATTTCTCTAATCTTACATCAAGCTGCTCCTGCATAGCGAAGGGTTGAATCAGAGCACATGTAGCAAGTTTTCCTTGATTTTTTTTTCCCCCTCATGGCTTTCTTTAAGCAACAGCTCACAGCTATGTACGACTAAAGCAGTACTATCAGGTGCAAGACTAAGTTTATTTTAAAAAATTTACTTCAAGGCAAAAAAATATGGCTCCCTCAAGAGGAAAATACTGACTAGATAGGAAGCTAAACAAACAAGTTGCCTCTAAGTTCAGTTAGATCTATGATATATATATATATATGGCTGGATGTTTTATATTTCAATCTCAAAACAACTTAGCAGCTTTAAACCACAATCTATACTGACAATCACGCTTCTGGGTTAGAAGACATGTTATGAAATTGTGTCTGTGCTGAGTATAATCACAGACCTAAGCTCTGGAAATACCTACCAAATTTCCCAAGTCCAGTAGCCGAAAATAGAAAGAACACAGAACTGGAAGAACTGTCTTGTGAAGAAAGTGAAACACCTGTTTTATCTAGGCCATTTGGGTAAAGGGTAACTAAAAGAAAGACACACTAGTTTCTCCCACAGATGCACAGCAAAAAGGTGAATTAAAACTGAACAAAGTGTACCTTTGATTAAATGCTACAAGGAGTTCCTCACATACAGGGTGTTCAAGACTGCAGTAAGATGAATAGCATTTGACTCAAACTGTGCTGAGCATGCTATGCTGCCACTTGGAGGCATTTCTGCATTCAGGCATCTGATGCCTATAATAGTGAAGAATGGGACAACAGTATTTTACCTTTTTTTTTTTTTTTAACTGCAGTAGCTTTTCAGAAAACCCTTGCTTCCTTTAAAAGTATGTGCTAACAAGGGCAATGAGTAGTAATAAGGAAAAATTGGCTCCTTGGGATGGAAGGAAAGACATCTTCCAAACACTTCAGTTGAGTCAAACATTGGTGTACAATGAACCCACATGCATATGACAGCACAAAAACTATTAGCTCCCCCCAAAAGGAGACTGCTAATAAGTGTCATGTTTACAGCTAAAACCAACATAGCTTTTAAGCGAAAAGCCCATTATAGAAAGCACTGAAGCACATGCTTGAATTTCCACCCAATTAAATATAACCTTATGTAGTGCTTTCACCTAACTATTTATTAGATCAGGCCTTAGGTTCAACATTAGGATATACACTTATATGCACTTTTTAAAAATTCTTTGAAAGGAAAAAAAAAAGTCACAGCACCTAGCCTCAGCATCTAACCTAGCCAGCAAGGTGCCTTGAACAGCGGAAGACAGGAGTGCCTTCAGGTGACAATAGAGAGCAAGTGTCTACACAGACTCTCAATGTAGGAGGGGGACACCTCCTCTACTCCCCTCCCTAGCTCTAAAGCTCCCTACCATACCATAATCTGTATATAGATACACATTTTCAACTAAATACACATACACAGTAAAAGCTTTGTGAAGCATTTGGTTGCTGTACATATATTTTCTAATGATTTTGTTAACTGAGATTGGGAAAGACTTGCAGAGGAAACAGGGAGGAGGGAGACATGGTCTAGGGAAGTGAGGTATATGACTCCCATTGACTAAGGCAAGAGTTAAAAGGCCTACCTAATTATTGTGCATTACAAATAAAAATAAATTTATCATTCCTGCAGGACTATCTTAAAGCAAATGTAGGACTATTACCAGTCCCATACAGAATTTTTACAGTGCAGAAACTTAGTTCTTTGTGCTTCATTTAAAGGACACAGATACAATTTTAAAGACAATCCTTATAAAGCAGCCAATTGACTAGACTATTCAAAGCCTGTAAAGACTTTGATAAATCTGTTTTGTCATAATATTCATGATCTAAGGTATATCAGGGGAAAAAACTCATTTATATCAACATTGCAGATTAGCAAAACAATTGTAATATGTGGGTGGGTTTTTTTTATTTGGTACACCCCCACCCACCCACCCTTAAAAATCAAACAGGCTTCCTAAAACCCAATTTCCACAATGTATATTAACCATCAGGTGAAGCACAATTGGGTTAAGATTGGGATTATTATTTTGTGCTGGTGTTGGTAAAGTATATAGATGATAGAACATGTGGTTTCTAGATATGCCATGAGTGAGTATTAGATAACAAGTATATTGATATAGAATAATCCGCCTAAGTCAGATGCTAACTTGAACAGCAAACGTTTCACTTTCTGAACACTCATATAGTACAAAAATTGCACAGACTAGATGAGATTCTTCACTATAGATAAAAAGACAACTAAAAATACTATCAAGAATTGTAAGTAAATTGATAAAGAGAAATTTAACAAATATTTTACTTGAAATAAAGGAGAGATGTCTTCTAAATACTATCCTTTGGTATGCAAGTTCAAAACTGTGCTAGGGAGAAGTTACTCAATACTGCTAACTACTTGATCTCATTTATATACAGGTATGAAAAGAGAGTCAGTTTTCAGCTTCTTTTAGACATATATATATATTTACACTCCTACTTACTCAGCTTCAAAGGCAAGCTTATCTTAAACCTTGATAATTATCATTAGGGTTGTTCCACAAATTAAATGTAAGAAGATACCACCAAGATGATCTTGACAAACATAGTGTTATGAAACAACTGTCACTTAAGACTTGTTTATTCTTAATTCCTAATCAGAATTCTTTCATCTCACAGCTTTACTTTTTACACTTAAATAAATCATAGTTCAAAACCAAAGGACAATCTTATTTCACCAGTACTACATGAAAAACAAAACGTGATCCTAAGCTTTACTGACTTGAAGAAATCAAAGAATTATGGAAGTCAGTTCCCTAATTCACAGTGGACTGCATAGCAGACTGCAATTCAACCAACCTAAACAGCTGACTAGAAAAATTATTTTCTACTTTTTAAAAGACTTATACAATTAAGATAAAACCAAAAAACAACATCCCAGCTAATGCTCACACTTACAACATATCTTTTATTTAAAGCTGGCTTTAGATAAAGGTAAAGTGCAGACCTTCAAACCTATGGGGGTCTTTCCAGAGGGCCTCTGGCAAGAACACTAAGCATGTAATGGTGCATACTTCCTATCCTCAAGGACCAGATAAAAGATCAAAAGGCAACTGATATTACCATTGTCTGTAGAGCATGAAGCAGCCCAGAGCTCACCTGTCCCTCTGTTCATTCTGCTGCTGCTTTGTGCAGAGCACAAAGTAGCCTCAAGTTGGCAAGCCCAAAAGCTATCCACATTTAAACCTGTCCCAGACATTTGTGAAGATCACCTAATGTTTGTGATGCACTGAAATGATGGTATTCAAATGTCAAAGCTCTTCACCATAAACACTTTCATCCCCAATTATTGCAACTACATTATATTTTGCTTAAACTGACACAGTGTATTCAGTGTTCTTTAACATTAAAGTACTAAAAACATGAATTCAACTGTTGTATAAACATACCTAACCCACAGTAGGACATTTTCAAACCCTTATGTGAACCCCTCTGTGCACGTGACAAAAAGAAAACCATGCTCTCACCAAACACTACAAAAGACCTATCTGCTCAATTTTTCCACTTGATTCTGCTAGCCCGAAACACCATAATTTCCTGCACCTTCCCTGCCAGTAAACACTTAACCTCTTATATGCATTTAAACAGAACACATATGCATACTTCTAAAAACCACCAACTCAATGCCCCAAATGAGTTCTGTTTTCAACTTCCCATAACGCAGAAAAATCTCACATTCTGAACTGAAATTCTTCTAAACTACTGTCAAAAGAGCTCCCCTGAAATTCTTCCTTCGTGAAATCATAAATGGACAAACATACTTCACATTCTCATATACACACTTAATACTTGCAGAGTATCCTTAGTACTCTTACTGGATAGATAATGGATTTAAAATAATATCTTTCACTTCTCTATAGCTTATTTGAAAATACGGGATGTGTTTGGGTTGGGTTTTTGTTGGGTTTTTTTTTTTTTTTTTTTTTTTACATACATGGAGTCTGAGAAAAACACACCGCTCCACTTTTGGAAATTTAATTCTCTCTTGGCAAGCAACTCAGGGAAGTAATTCTTATTTTCTCCTAACTTTCCAGACGATCCAGTCTGTCACAGTGATTAGAGTATTGCAACTATGCATAGACCCACTTGTTCACTAGTTGGATTTATTATTTCATTTACAAAAGTTAAGAAAAAGCAATGCAACTTTCTTACACAGCACACTAATCAGTCATTAAGAGGGATTTCCCCTCCCCCCCCAGTAAAGAAATTGAGGAGGAGAAAACAGTTTTAATTAGACTAACAGAATTTGTAAAGATTATCCTTTTGCAGGGTAAGGAGGTATTACTATTTCTACAAAGTTAATAAATATTATGCTAAAAGTTACTGAAATGAGATTATACATTATAGAGTTCCTCAGGTAGTTCAACAGCTCCCCAGCCACAGGGATTATCTGATAACATTTATAGGAGATACAACACACATTCATTTCCATAAATAAATAAAAATAACAAGAAAAGTGATGGTAGAGGGAAGAAAAGGGTAGCCAAAAGGGAACATACTAGCTAACAATCACTCATAGCTCTGCCTTATATCTATACTCCCCTTACCGTATGGTATTTTCTCCTTTTAATAGACATACATACATGTATATATACATATATATACACAAACATACACACATATATACACATGCACACATACCTTAACAAGCGGATCCAAAAATTCATATTTTTCCCTCAGCACCAGGCTGTTCCAACAGTAGGGGGTTTATCATTTAAATCATTAACATTATAAAAATGTCAGAACAATAGGAAAACACACACCCTTCTATCATCATCACGTATCTCTAAACGAAAAAAAGAAAACCCTCAGTAATGGCTTCTCCAAAACATAGCATACAATCCATAACTATTTTGTTGGATATAGCACACGTAAGGATCTGGTATTTTCTTTTCCCAGGTCTTAAACACATGTTGAAAATGGATACATTATCTGTTTCCCTGCTTGTTTTTACAGAAAATAATATGGCTAACAAGTGGTTTGGTGAACACCAAGCCAAGAAACAAACAGGTGCTATTTAATTAAATTGTGCTGCAATGTTGTTTAAATGATCTTGCAGTGGAAATTTATCTGGTTTTAGGAGTTGCCTTACTAATGAAGCAGACTGATCTTTGACCATAGATACTGATTCTTCCTCTGTATTTCTTCAAGATATTAAATATATTATGGGATTTCTTGGTATGTGTCTTAATCTACTTAAGAATATAAATAATTTTCAGCAGCAAGTATTTCCTACCTCCTTCAGCTCCTTCACCACCTTTAACTCTTGTGAAGTTATTCATGCCTGTACTTTAAATAATTTCTGATAATCAAGTAGTGCAACACAGATGTTCCTTGCAGAACAGCATAAAACTGGAACTACACAAGACAGCAATAGCCATTTACAGGAACAAATTGCAATAAATTGTTCATTGGGCTAAAAACATATTGAAAAGGTCATAACTGTCAGCTGTCCCAATTTTGAATCCGATCACTGCAACTGCCAGAATTCTAATTTACTGCTAGGGAATTACAATGCTCTCAAAGCAAAGCCAAATATCTTCTTTGTGATCAAGGAGCATCTGGCCCTATTCAGGTTTAAATCGAAGGCTACGTATCTTAAATTCAATTAGCAAGCTTGAGTTTGGAGGTTTGGGGGCTTTTGGGGTTGGGTTTTTATTTTTTTATTTATTTTTTTCCTGAAACACAGTTTTAGCAGCTATTTAGAAAGGGATTCTGCTGTGACCAAGTCAACACAGTTAAGGAAAAATACGCAAGCAAGCTAACTTGCATGAGTATATATGCTTATTACTATACCTCTACCATAGGTTCATCTTCAACGGACTTAAGAATCAAGCCCCTGAAAGTTGATATATACATTTAAAGTGACCAAAAGATTAAACATGTTTCTGGAATCCATGAGAGAAGGTAGAAGCAGCAATCACTTGGAATCTTGAGTGTTATATTCAGTCTCTCCTGATGAAATCTGGCTGAGCCGTTTGCTTGATCCCCACAGCTTTCGGGAAAGCTGACCTGAGCGCATCTGTTTAAAAGTAATCCAGAGAAACAAAAGGAGGGGGAAGGGATAAGGTGGATAAATTAAAAAGGAATTCAGACACTGATTCTGGTGAAATGCAGACAGTACAATGTACCGCATAAACAAAATTACACCAACAAAAATTATTTGAAAACAAACCAAAAGTTACACTTAGGGATGATTCTTGGGACCAACGAAAAACAACAGACAAAACACTAATCGGTCTTCTCTGATTTTGAACAGTTAAAGAGATATTGCCAAGTAATGCATACTTAATACTTAACCTACTTCCAACGGCTTAGAAACAGGGTTTAGAATGCTATTTTGATAAGAAGGAAAAAAAAAAGAGGTGAATGTCAAGCAAAAATGAACCAAATTAGAAGAAAGGACATTTTATTTTAGAGATTGCAAACAGAAATTGCTAGAAGTGAAAAGGAAAAGATAACCAAAATGCAGGGCAGTGATGGCAGAATGAAGGAAAGAGAGAAACGTTATCTTCCGTTGTCAAATTTATAGTTTTCCAAAGATCCTGGGTGAAGTGTTCAGAGTAAAATTTAAACCAGAAATAATTCATACTGAATATTCCATAAGTAAAGATAGATAACAGGCAACCAGAGGCCATATTAAATCCAGCATCTGGTAGGTCTGCAATCTGACAACAATTTGTAAGAAACTGTTTTCATTTACTCCTTAAGTACAAGGCTTATGATTGGCCAGTAGTGATCAGTCTGGCAGCTGATGAGGTTATGAAATCCCTTGCAGCTTAATAAACAAGATGCACGCCTTAGCAGCACAAGTTTGAGAACAGTTCCCTGCAGTTAGTACTACGAATTAAGCATGCTTAAGAACTGTATCCTCACAGCAGCAGTATTGTAGAAAAGGCATGGTGCTGACAGGGATTAACACTAACAGGTGATAATCCCCTAGACTTCTGCAACATCCCAAACAGCTAAGTAATTGTTAAGAATACAAAAACATTTATGATACTTCACTTCATACTGGACTCTGTCAATGCAGAAACACTAAAGGCCAATCTTAATACCAAGCAGCATTTCACTTTATGCATAATAAAGGTCTGTCTCTCCCTTCATCCTAAGGATCAGTATTCACCACCAAAACCCAGAACTAAAATGCTGTCTTCTGTATAAGGACAAAATGCTAGTAATTAATATATTCCTTCCAAACTACAAATAAATCTATCCACAAATAAATACCCCACATACACATGCTTTTCAAATATATTGATTGATGCCATTATAGAAAACTAGAAAATCTGGGACATAATGTTGTTCCTTATATGTCTGTGGTTTGTTGTAGGGTTTTGGTTTTTTAAAATCTATTTACATGGACATTAAGCTTGCAGATCATCTGAATTATAAACAGAAAATCCTGAAAAAAAAGTAAATGGAAAGCCCCTACATTCCTAACACTTTCTCCATAGTTAGAAAAATAGATGTGATTAAGAACTGAAAAAAAGAAAACAAAAAGCCTTCAGAGATACATACAAAAGATCTTTTCTATGGAATAGGAAGCTTAGAAATGACAGTGACTTGAAAACTGCTGTTACAAACATATGTTTAACCACATCATAAACAGCTCTTTGTCAATTCTGCAGTAGGAAAAAGCTGTCCAACTAGAAGTCAGTGGAAACCTCCCCATCCACTGCAAGCAAAATCAGACTACCATTGTGTGAAGCCTGTTTCAAATACTAAACTGTGTATCTCCTAGCTAAAGCATTTTAAAATACTGGCAAATAAAGTCATTTTGTTTTCACAATTAAAATATAAAATTAAATTAAGACACACTTTTCTGGCATGTACTAAAGGTCATGCAAAAGTGAAAATCACATTTTCAAATAAATACACTGCAGCACAACGGAGATTGGGTTATAAAGAGAAGCAGGTTTAAACAAACTCAAGTACTTTGAAAGTCATGACAAGAAGTACTTAAAGCAAAACCTATGTTTTGCACAAGAAAAATTGGGCATAGCTATTTGACAGATGGATGCTCTGTATTTGATATTGCATATGCAGTACCAACAAGTTTATATTCACCATATGGAGCACTGAGCATACTGGGAGCCTACACAAGTGATTCTTTGTGCACTGCAATTAGAGATTCTTAACAGAAAGTAGTAATATTTTTTCCCCAATGTCAGTCAATGCATATTAAAATATATCTGACAGAAATGGTAAAAAATAAAGTAGCTTGCTCTCTTTCATATCCAGTTTTCTTCTGGAAAATTATTTCATCGAGAAGTGGCTGACAACACTATCCTGTTCAGAAAAGGTTAGCTACTATGACTTTGCTCATTCAGATGTGAGTGTTAAAGTCTGGAAGTTAGTCCAGCTGAGCTTCCCATCTGCGATCCCTATATACCTTTGATTCGTAATGAGAAATTTCAGTAGAGCAGTCTCAAAAGTTACTTCTTTCCCACTGAAAACTGAAACTTGCTCTTAAATTTACCCTGCCATAGAGGAGACCTCTTGCTCAATTGGAAAGCAGAAATCAGTGAACTTCCCACTGTTCGGTAGAAAAAGTTCTTGATGGTGGGTTTTACCTCTGCTGGCTTGCCAACACCAACGATAATCAACTTGCCGTCCTCCAAGCCAACAAGGATGTGGCTATACTCTTTGGTGACAGAAATGCAATGAATTGGCAGTCGCATGGCTAAGGGGGAGATGCTCAGACTCAGGCTGAAATGAACAAAAATGACATAGAGAAAGCACATCATGTATTTATTTGCACATACTGCAAAGAATCACACTGCAGTTGAAATTGCTGTCCGCAGGATGCACTATAAAACACAGTTTCTCAAGGACCCAGTTTGCAATTCCAATTATTGTAAACTCCTAAGGAACAATCTAATCATACCCCAGAACAGAGCTCCAATAACAAGAAAAGGCATGGATGGGTAAAGCAGTAAATTAAGAAATTTTTCACAAAAGAACATTTTCACAAAAGTAACATTAGTCCTGCAACTGCCTAAGGGACAAAGATCACTCGCATTCTGAGGAGCAACGGAGCTCTCTGAGCGTAGCAGTAAGTGGAGTTTAAAACTCAATGCAGAACTACACAAGGCTTGATCCTGCAGTTGCTGAGCTCCCAGTGACAATTAGACATAGGGACAATGAAAGCTTGCAGATGTCAGACACAGCTCTTCCTAAATTCTGTCAGTTCTAGGTGTATAATTGGGATAAATGGCAAAAGAAAGGGGTCTGGTACAACCTCTCATTTTCTCCCTTAGTTCTCCCCAAAATAGTTTTTTCAGGAACACTCTAAAAAGCAATGGCTACCACCTACAGTACCAAGCAAAGTCCACGTTATACAGCCATTTCTCAACAAGCCCTTATATTTGCATCTCAGTAATAAACTACTGATGGCAGCACATTACCTGTAGAGATCCCGTATGGAAAGAAATCCCTGTAAGCTGCCCATCACGATATACTCGCCAGTCACACACATATCTGACACTTCCTCCTTCAGAGTCTCAGAACCCAGGTATTTTCCATTGACAGAATAGAGATGTAACGCATTCTTATCCTGAATAGATCAAAAATAAAACTGTCACAGAAGACTGACTGGATTAAGACTATTATTTGTATCTTTAGATCACTATCAGGAGCTAACTTGGGCAATAACCCACAGATAATATTGCTGACAACAGTTTACTTGTTGAATGATACACGAGTAACGAGCCTATATGCAATATGTATACCAGGTCTTGTATTGAAATTTTTGAAGTTATTCCTCATTACCTCTTGATGTAACATGGTAACATCTTACCTATCCATGTAATCAATTCCAAATTTTCTGTAAACATCCATGGATTTAATTGACAGGTTCCTATTTTACAAGGGTTTTTGTTAAGGAAGAAGAAAGAGAACGCTCTTATCTTCAGTCCTGCTGCACCTTCTGTACCCCCACCCCAAACTGAAAAGCAGAAGGAAAGATATTTCCACCGAGCCAGATCTAGAAGCATTTTATGGACAAGGCAATGAATTCTTGACAGATTAAAGACACAGCTAACACGACCATCTAAAGTTCTTCCAGTCTGCCAATACCTTGGTCTCTTCTCTCCCCATATTCCCAATGCGGCTATTATGCCTTGCACACAATAAATTTGTCTTCCATGAAATTTCTCATGCTCACAGAAATCATAACAGCTCTACCGTTATTAAAGCAACTACACAGCTACTCAAGAGACAGAATAAGCTACACTGTGAACCATATAGCTATCTCTCCAATCCAAAATTAAGAAACATCAGTGTATCACTGGGCATCTTGCACCCAGAACTTACTGCTCCCCTCATAAGCCTCTGTTATAAGGGAACTTGTTTCCCCTAGTTTTCCATTTCAAAGCAGCTCTCCGAGGAAGATTCATTAGTGCATGCTTGGGCTAATGTGTTTGGAGATTTTCACAAAACTTAGGGGAGCACGCTATGCCTGTGATTTATCTTTTAATTAAATTTCACTCAAATTGGCTAGTAAAATTAAAAAAATAAGGAAACAGACACAGCATGCTCAAAAAGTCTCATTGCTTTAGGAAATAAGCATAAAGTTAGGTACATTTATCATTAAAGTGAAAGAAACAGAGGTATTCCATGAACCTAAGTACCTTAAGAGTAGTCTTTCCTTCTATGCTGGTGTGGACAACTATATGGCCTTCCCATGACACAGCCAGATTGGGAACAGTCAGCAGGAGAGAACTCTCACAAGGTGGTCGCAAAGTCCTCACGTACTGACCTTTCCGAATAGTGCGGACAATAACAGTCCCATCCTGCAGTGACCAAATTTAGTAAGTTGTTACTCAGCAGGTAAGTTACCAGAACACACAGAAA